CACGCGCGCATGAATTTTCGGCCGTTTCCAAAAAAAAAAAAGTTTTCAACCATACTGTAAATCGTACAAAACAGTTGCAAAATGAGCAAAAATATACCAAAAGTTACAAAAAAAATTAATAAAAACTATACCAATGTCGTAGAATGCCAAAATCAAACGAAAAAAGACGAAATTGTAAAGAAATTAACTTGAAGACTAGATTATTCGCCAAACCATATTCTGTGCCATTTGCTCAACCCTCAGGACCACGTAGATTTCATAATGAAAACAACTTTTTTTTTTGGAAAAACTTTTTTTTATTCGCACGCGCGCATCGATATCAGTTTTGGGGCTCCCGGAGGATGTCATCCATATAATCAAATCAACATGGCCTTACTGACACATGGCCAAACATGCCGGGGTGTCAGATAGACTAATTACAGACCGTGCTTCTAAAGGTGCTGGGTTTCAGACACTACATCGGCAACATCTGGTGTTGACAACAACTGAAGCAATTTACTGTTTTGTCTCCCTATCTGATTAAAAAGAGGCTAGATGTTGCCTTTATTGCTGACTCATTCTTGCTATTGTTTCCTTCCTCCGTTATGTTATTTTCCTAATTACGTTGTTTTGATCATAACCATAGGTGATCATAAACGTGTCTATGCTTTAGTGTGTACGTAGATAGTAAGAAATGAAATGTGCGTTAAAAATTTAAGCTATATGAATTTCAGGACATATGGCGGTTTTCCTAGAAATATTTAAGCTTTCCTAAGGTTTTCTAGGAAACTCGGAATAGCGTTCGTCTGTTAGACGCCATATATGTTGGACAGTTGACGTCACCGAGGAGAATGAAGGTCAAACACGAAACATTGATTCATAAATGCAGCAATATAATAGGCGTCCTTTCCACATGCTTGATCGTGGTTGTAATGATTACAAGGTTCGATAGATGGGGCTTCTGTGCTGCGGAGTATTTCAATTCTCACCTTTTCGTTTCCGTTACGGTGTTAACATGTCCGACAGGAGGTTTCTTCTATTCCTTACGTGTGGTGGTGCTCCATAAATAAGTAGAAAATAAGCGGAGCTCAAACAACACAACACAACACAAAACAACACAACACAACACAACACAACACAACACAACACAACACAACACAACACAACACAACACAACACAACACAACACAACACAACACAACACAACACAACACAAAACAATTTATACGTACAGAGTACGTCTGGAAAGCTCCCCAGCATAGCTGAACTTTCGTTGTGTGTTTTAGTATAAATATTTTGTCAAAAACAATTTATAGTGTGAATTATTTACTCCTTACGTGTACACAGCATTACAAGAAACGTAGCAAAATATAACAATTGGTGTATGGTCCGTTTGTTCTCGGTTTGTTGTTTCAGTTTTAAATGGAAACTTAAATGACAAACAAAACAAGAAGTACTAGATCAGTTACAGTCGGACTGTACTATCCAATCCCCCCGGCCACTTCCGTGTGCGTAATTCTACACGTGCCCGGCCGCTCAGGACTGATTGGTGACGGAATCAAATCGTTTGATAGAACGCTGTCTGGCCTTAAGGCTTACGTATTACGCACGTTGTTTGTGCTCAGAATTGGCCCGAAGCGTAAATAATCAAGATTTTATGTAGTTTCGCGACAGGAGTTCCCACGCCTGACAAAATTGTGTCCTATTAAAGCGCTCTATTTACGCGCTTTTTGACGTGATGTGACGTCACAATAACCAGCATGCTCTGGGCCTAACACGTATTCGTATAATGTTGTATACGCGCTAGGTAACTCCACAGATCGACGGGTTGCGTACAGCTGACTTGACATAGAAAAACCTCAACGTCTTTCACCTATCGAGAATTTCAACATTTCTGGAGTATCATTGTCATAATTTCTCGTCATTGTTCGGAACATCAAAATTGCCAGGGTCGTCAGCGGTGAAGCAGTTGGACGCAATAACTTTTCCAGTCTCAGACAAAGGAGTCCTTACACATAAAAAAGGGCAACGTGTATCATAGAGACAACCACCACAGGAAGTGTACGTAGGTCGTACAGGTCGTGTCCTAGCTTAAAGCACTAGCTGCTGGACAACTGAGAGAAAGTCGCCATGGGTTCTGTAGGAGGTTGTATGTGCCCCAAGACTGTTGTCCGTCCTCTCTCGCCGGAGGAGGAGAGCAGCTACTACGACACGAGGAAGCTTCTGTCCGAGTTGATCACCGTCCAGACGGCCATCGTCTTCACGGAGAGCGCCCCGCCGTCCCCCATCGACCCCTCGGACTCCCTCATGTACAGGCTCCGCAGCATCCTGGAGGTGAGCCGGAAGGACGAGCCCCAGACCGGCGCCTCGCCGCAGAGACTGAACCTGAAGGAGCTGGACGGGCTGCCGGGGATCGTGGAGACGTCGGACGCGGACGGGAAGTCGCTGAGCTGCCGCAGCTCCTTCTCCCGCATCCAGTCCCGCCACAGCGACGTCTCCCAAGCCACCATCTCCGTCATCTCCTCCACCAGGATCGAGAACAGACAACCACGGTCTTAGGACTTACAAACGGAATGAAAACTGTAGATGCCATGCCCTTCCGCCTTAATTATACAGCAGTACAGACTACACGGACTGTGGACCAGACATTGCAAGGTCGTTCTAGTTCTATCTGTTTCAGAACTCTGCTCTGCCCATGTATAAAGTAAGATGAAGGAAGTAAAGACATTTGATGGTCAGCTTTGTACTGTGGAATGTTGCATACTGAGGTTATAGTGAACAGAAGAAAGTCTGGCTCTTAGTGTAGCACTGATGACAGGTGAGTCTGTAAATGTTAAACTTAAAGCGTCTGTCTTTATCCTTCATTAACAAGGAAAAGACATTAACTTATAATGTGACGTACTTGTTATCCCGGATAATAACTACAAATATTAATTACCTATCTAAAGGGCCATTATGTAATATTTTGCACTAAAAATCGAGATATTTCATTTTAAGAAATATTTGTGTTTAATTGTAATTTACTTCCACTTTTCAACATATTTATGCAATTATCTCACATTTCTGACATTTATGATTGGCACTAAATAAGTCCACCCAGTTTGTGGTGCCAACGCAAACTACCAGAATGTAAACAAATATGGCTGACAGCTGTGTTCCCAGTTTTTTTTAACATACTCGCAAGGCGTCATATTTTGGCTCCTTCACTTCCCGAATGTCACAAAAATGCAGCTTTAATGTCAAAAACATCGACCGTAGTGACAACTTTACATTTAAGTCTATTGAAATCATACACACCAGAATCATCACAAGTTTGTAGAGCATAAGACTTATATTTTCTTATCTATTTTGAAGACGCCATGAAGAGTATACCATGATTTTAGTGTTTATTTTCACTATATTAAAGAGTTGTGTATGTCAGTTATGTAATCCGTCTAGACATGTGCTGTGGACAGTAAAATGCTGGCATACGGAACCGTGCTTCAATGGAGACCTGTTCTTTCATGTTACCTTTGTGTGTGTTTTTCGTGACGAAACATTTCATCCATTAGAGCGAGAAGTTGTTGACCCAAAGCTCCATTCAAAAGGGTAAAGATCAATCTGCAAATTTGCCTACACGAAATGTATGTGCCATAATCTTTGTTCGGCGCACGTAAAAACCCATCATTGCCGAATCTCCCGGCCGTTACAATTGTGGAGGGCTTTTATCAAGTACTTGAGTGTGTGCATATTTTATGACCAAGAGTTGGTTCTAGATTCTGCAAACATCTCGCTGGGTCAACCTCGCTCAGAGATGTTTAAAAATCAGTATAGGTTCATTCTTCAGTTTTAGTGAATCCATTTTTGTGTTGTTCCTCGAATAATTGGTTTACTAAGTTGTTTGTTTCCGTTACCCACAAAGAGATCAGAGCATTGCGCACAATAATCCGTAATTTAAAACACATCAAAGATTTTGTTTGTAAAAGAGAAGAGAAAAAGAACAGCAATTGCCTAGGCCTTCAGGCAATGTTTGCCACCTCTGTACCATGTGGTGCATATATGATACATAAAGACAAGGGCAGGCGTGGAAAAGAGAACAGATGGTAGTAAACATATACATTCACATCATTCCGCCTTGTGCAGCCAACATGTGATGTTTATACCGTTCAACCCGTCAACTAACAAATTACCTATTAGCAAACAAACAAGCAGCTGCGACTTGTCAACAAATATCTGTACGCTCACGCAATATCAGCATCCCGGGATCTAATTCACGTGTCATTCCTCACTAGAACGCGTGCGTGCTTGCTTGGCTCTATCGATGGAAATGCAAAAGCTAGTAGGCTCCATTTTGTATTTGAATAATTTGTCAGAACCAAGCTTGAATCAACGTATTTAATACTAAGCTAGGGACTCACACCTCGTGTGTCCGGAAACCAATATATGATTATAATAGACATATTTGAGCTTGATTCAAACCTACATGTATCTTGTCAACACATAACGGTTCATACTTGACTAGATGTTTAAAACTGCTGACAAAAAAAGCCATTTAATTTCACGGAATGATCCATTTTTTCATGTCATCTTTGTATTTTGGAACACCCAGTTGCTGTTTTGTTTTTTGTTATTGATTGTATCTCTTCTTTGACAGTTGTGATGCTGAATTTAGCAATGTGCTAAAAAAATAAGTTGTCCACCACTGTGTCGTGTAGTTAATATGTTATTCAATGAAAAAATGCTTGAATATAGATGAAAATGCTTGTTTTTGTACTTTCAAAACCGCTATGTCAACACCACAGGTCAAGACCGGAGAAATGTCGTCTTGGTCAGGAACACGTACACAAATATAGAAGGGTAAAATATATATATATATAT